GGTTACATGAGACCCTACCATAAATCTACCTAACACACACACACACACACACACACACACACACACACACACACACACACGAGAGAGAGAGAGAGAGAGAGAGAGAGAGAGAGAGAGAGAGAGAGAGAGAGAGAGAAAGTATAGTCATTATTCACATAGTGTTTGCAATATTCCCTAAATATATTTATAGTGATCCAATGATTAATTTTAAATAATTTACTTCACAAGTACTATGGGGTAAGACTCTCCCAGGCACTTTGCTCGTCAAATCATATATAAAATAGATGAACAAGTCACCTAGAACGATTAAATTTTAACTTTCTATGTGAATTACTGTGCTTATTTTTAAATGAACTAAGCGTTTTTAATTTTGTCATTCCCAAGGAAGACTCCATCCTTCCTTTGGAATTTCTTCAACTACCTATCCTGGCTATCACCACTCAAGAGAAGTTTCTTTTCAATATGAGGCCTCATTGACAAAATGTGCCTGATAGGGCAGTTTCTAAGGCTCACTGAAGCCTGCCTTCTTTGCTCCCCTCTGTTCTCACTACAAAACTCTCCCATTCATCATCCTTAGCCCAACAGAACCATCTCCTTTCCTTTCCCCATTCACAAATTGGCATTATGAGTTCTGCAGTTCTCAGATCCTTTAAGAGCGGAACTACTGGTCCAGGTCCTCCCATAGGGGTACTGATGCGTCCAGGTCATGTTAACTTCCGAAGGCTTCTTTTGATTCACTTTTCTTCATGTGTTCTTTCATTTGGCCAGTCGCCTGTTTTTTGTGAATGTTATGTGTGGTGATATTTTATTTGTGCTGAAATGTGGTGATATTTTATTTGTACTTTGATAAATAAAGCTTACCTGGAGATCAGGGGGAAAAGGCCAGCCATTTTAAGTAAACAAAGTCAGGCAACACAGGCCCTTAATCCCATCACTTAGCGGCAGGGTCTCTGTGTGTTCAAGGCCACACTAGGGAACAGAGCCAAGCGTGGTGACACATGCCTTTAATCTCAGTACCAACCACAGAGACCCGGAGGTCTGTACAGACAGGCAGTGACAAGGAAGTGAGGTAACTGGGCTAAGAGCCAATGAGGGGGCAGAAAAGCAAGGCATATAAAGCCTGGTTAGACAGGAAGTAACTCACATTTGGAAGCTGCAGAGTTGGTGAGGTAAGGTTGTCTGGTGGCTCTCCCTATTTCCCTGATCTCTCTAAGGCTTTCACCCCTATATTTGACTCTGTGTTTTTTATTTAATAAGACCATTTAAAAATTTGTCTACAGTTATGCATAGATTTAATTTTTGGGAGGTGTCGCTATTTATCAAACTGATTGAATGTAGGAATTTGGGGAGATCTGAAAACTGTAGTTTGGATATAATTCAAGTTTGTCTCCCAAAGGCCATGTATCAAAAGCTTGGTCCTGCTGTGACGATATTATGACATGATTGATGATTCCTTCTAAAAGATAGGATTTAGGAATGGTTATTATTG